ACTTTCAAATGCATGGAAAACTTTGGGCGCTTTGAGCGACCGCTAAATATTTTTTGATTACAAAATAAAAAGGAAAGGGTATATGTTTAAGGTATAGAACAATCCTAGGAGGTGAGAGCATAAACATTCGAAAAAATTTAAATAAAGCTTTCAAATTTTCAGATACAAATTTATGAATAAATTCGGTTTGAAATATGGACCTTTTTGTAAAAAATACAGTGGTCAGGGTAGCCGGAGTTGGACTTACATTTTCTCTGTCAAAATGCTAATTTTACTCCATTTTTCAATGAATCCCTCCTCCGTCTCCGCTCCCCACCCCAAAACCGTTGCATAAATAACCGAACATTTGCCCTTTTGTTTTTGGAAGAGAAGAGGTCTAATACTTAATAAGATGATAATTGTGTTTCTTACTAACAATAAATCATCAATGTGGTTTCACACCCCCTCCAATATTGAACAGCAAAATATATTTATTTTTACGCAAAGAAACAACGATATTGTCGAAATATACTAGAATTGGATAATACTCACTTCTCTGAAAGTCATGAGGCCAATGGGTCCAAAGTAAATTCCGTTTTCAAGTTACTTGAAAGACAAAGTTGGACAAAGACAATATCGAAATGTGTAATTTCAGTGTTTGAATTATATCAGAAACAATCGTATCCGGCATAGAAAACTATAACAGTCGCTAGCTACATTGCGAAATATTCAGGTGACATAATGACACTAAAACAATTTTAAATTATGTTCACTAAAATTTTATCAACGTAAAAATAAAGATTTTGGCAAGTAGTTATCGAATTTAATGTAAAGTTCAAACGTTTTTAAGATAGGATATTAATTATGTATGTATTTTATTTATACTCCCAAATTTAGGACATTAAATCCGCTCCATCAAAAAACTTAAATTGGGTAACGCCGCTACGAATTTTTTACGATTGAGCAATTGTCAAAAATCTCCTTTTTAATCAAAAATGTGTTTATTGAAACTACCTTCTTTTTTATGTATCATTGTCAAAATAAAGTCGACATTAAAATTAGTTACAGCTTTTTGACATAACTTCCAATGTCAATCTGCCAAAAAACTGCAACTGACTTTACAGTCGACTTTATTTCGACTACGACTATGTATAACCCATAACCCATAACATACATATCGTCACCTGAAATGCAAAGACACGAAGCAAACTTGTCGCTGAACTTCAAAAAGTCGTAACTAATAAAAAATTTAAAATCCCACATCATTTAATGAACAAAAAAAAAACAAAAAAATTGGTAGTCACGACTTTTTCCATTTCAGTTACAATGTTCTTACGTCTTTTTGCATTTCAGGTGACGATGTGTACATTATGCAAATAAATTAAGCAGCAACGGAGAGCATAGTCATGAATGACGAAAAGGTTCTTCAACAAAAAATCTGCGGAAATAAAAAAGTTCTTACTACTGAGTATGCGCCCAGATCCCCAACAACCACATAAAGAAGAACATCATACTTGTATGTATTAAGATGTGGTTGTATATATGTAGTATATACATATCTATGTATGTACTCAGAAAAAAGGAGAACGATAGAAGTAGCTGTAGGCGCCAAATCGCAACCACTAAGTATTATATGGACATATATATGTATGTATGTATGTATCGTTACCTTAACAGTAAAGTAAAAATACAAAGTTCCCTTTTTGATTGATTAAGTTGCATTTCATCGAATTATATGTAAGTCACCACATTATTTTGAGCAATACAAAATGTTAGTCAGTTACGGCTTTTTTCCATTTCAGCGGGTATATGAGTTAGGGCCTTTCTATACTAAGGTAACGGTATGTATGTATTTACATGTCGCTAATTTACGAGAAACTGTTGCAACTCAAAAAACGGGATTTTTCAGAAAACGCGTGTAAAGTTTTCGATTAATAAAAAAATAGACGTGCATATTTTCTTCTCTTGCGGAAACTGCACAAGATCTTAGCATGAAAACTTGTATTCTAGGGAGTACTTATGCATCATTAACTTAAAAATCACGTTGTTATAGTCTTTCAGTAAATTAGAGAAATGTATGTACATAGTTACACAGTTACAACAAGAGAGGTCTCGAACACGCAGGAGAATTAATTCTCCACGCATATATACATATGTATATGTACTTACACGTAGATATGTATGTATGTCGTAGCTAAGGGTTTCTACATTCTCCTGTAAAAGGTGGTTTACACATGGATTACACGAGTGTGCATCGGCCAAGTTTAAAGTAGAGGGGTTTCATACAAAAGCAATGGGGTTGATTGCGCACGAAGGAGTGAATTCACTCAAAGAGTGTCTCAGTCTATTGGAGAAATGAGTCATAAGGTCGTTAATTTAAGTACTGGGTTGTGGAAGAGGAATTCGAGTGAGAATTTTCCGATTTTAACACATTGCGTGCCAAGCCATTTTAGGTATTTTAAAAAAGTGCCGTAGGTGTTTGGTTTAATTTGGGATTAAAAATTAAATAAAGCTGGAACTAAAAGAAATTGACATAAAGTAAATTTTGAGCAATATTATTGCTTTCATCGTTGTATATGTACATAGATAGACAGTATATATCCAGAAGATAAGTTAGGTAGAACTTTTTAAGTGAAGCCGTTCTAAAAGGCCTATCCAAGAAAGGCTGAAAAAAGTGCTTCCCTGCATGTCTTCTAGAAGGAATTTTACTATTTACAATTCACGCAAATAGGTAAGTCTATATTATTTAATAGTACAAATGAATTTAAGTATGCATTTTAGATTGCAATAAAAAATATTTGATATGAACCTTAAATAAATACCTAAAGGGGTATGATTTTATGAACTAAAGAATTATCGTTATAAGATCTTCTCCAAAAGCCTTCGGAGTAGTTAAATTAATATTTCCTATACCTATTTTTGTGGTAATCTTGATACTTTCAGTAGTGAACTTTTACCGCTTGGAGAGGAGAGGTCATAAAGCATGGGAAGCAAAAAGCTGTTTTAAATTTTATTGCTGTAAAAATTGCTCGTTTAACTTTTTACTTGTCAAATTAAGAAGGTCAGATGTTACAGGCTTTAAATTGAAATTTCCATTTGCCGTATTCTGCTTTCATGCGAATATTAAAAAAGAATGCTTCACCCTTTTAATAAATCTACAAATTAAAAAGGGACGAGTTTAGGCCGCCTGGTCGTCAAGGGTTAAGATATTTAAATAATTTTATTACAAAAATGAGGGAAATCGAATGCATATCCAAAAAAAACTAGAATTGAATGGGCTATAAACCGCATACTCAAAAATTTGCTTAAAATTCTGAAAAACAAAACGGTGACCTTTTGATGAAAATTTGTTGATTTTTGTACAAAATTTTAAATCAAATTTAGTTTTTGTTACATAATTTTAGTTTTGCTACATATAGATACTTTTATAAAACAACTTAAAGAAGGAAAAGGGATATTAAAACTCGAAAGAGGTAATTCCACCTATTAGGTAGAAGCAAACGAAAGGAGAAAAGCAAAAATTAAGAATAAACCTTGTCCATCATCCCATGTTAAAATTCATGGAACTTATTTGAGCTCTTAACTGCAGCTAAGATTTTGGCGGAAATAGGATATAACTCTACATTTATGCAATTGAAATTGTAAAATATGTGCTTTCCGTGTACGTATGGTATTCTGGGTTTTGGTATAACATAGAACATCCAAAGGTTAATTAAGTCAACCCAATGACTCAAAACTGATAAATTTACACATTCATGCTTCTGGCATGAGGGTGATAATATAATACCAAAAATATACCCATAATCGCAACGATCCAGTTCTTGCGACAGCTTAAATTGTAGCATCGTAAGTTTTATAATGGCGTCAATTAACAAAATTAACAAAATAGTTCTATCTGCGCGACTTTAATTTTTTCTTTTATCTCGTTCTCTGGTTTGAATGCAGTGCAGTGCTAGGTGTTTTGCATTAACATAAGCGGTAATAACAACTTTCTCGTGCATGCGTTTCTTTGGAGAATTTTGGTATTTCATTTTATTAGTCTATGTTTTGGTGTGTGCAGCCTTTTACCGTTATTTTAAAAACGAATTTGCCAAAAAGAAATTAAAAATCTACAACTTTTTTAAAAATAGCCAAAATGTAAATTTTGCACAAATACATATGTAGGTACATATGTATGTATATGAAATTTTGGTTTCGGTTATAGCAAAAATTCAGTTTCCGCGACAGCTCTGGTTTTTAATCCGTCGCGAATACCGAGCGTGCACTGTACATACATACATATGTATATTAACATATGTACATATGTATGTATTTGAATGCATGCATTCGGCCGATATTTTCCTCATATGACCTCCGTTATAATCAGGTAACAAATAACATAATTTAAAAGCTAAAAAAGTAATTGCATAGAATAGTTACTAGAGCAAAAAAGATGCAGGACAACACAACGCCCATTAAAACGCCAACGCATGTCAAAAGAATAAAGAAGTGTGCAGGTAGCCCTCTCACTTAGTGATTTGCTTTTTTACGTGGCACATTATTCAAGGACACATTGGGAAGCAGACTTCGGTATAATGGCCAATATTAGGAGCGCGAAATGACTTTCAATGAGTGTTGACAGTATTGCGGTATGTAGTTCTAGAGATGAAGAATAAGTTAAAACACTAGAAGCAAAACTAAGTACCAAGTATCTACCTGCAAAAAAAAAAAATGTTGTTGAGTCATTTGCATGGCAGGAGTAATTGAGTGACTTCATTGAGTGAAAGTGGTCTGTCAACCTGTACATAACATAAAAGAGGAATGGAATTCATTTACTCATTTTTATATTTGTGTTTTAAAAGCGATAGGATTTTACCCTAAGTCGTATTGATAAAATTCATTGGAGCTCGGCGTCTTATTTAGCTCTCTACTCGTTTTAGATTTCTCCACAATATACACTCTTGTTCACACAATCTACTCAGTGTTCGGCATTGCAATGGTGTCTGTTTCCGCCGTTGCTCGTCACATAGACACAATTATACTTACACATTTGTTGCTACTCTGAGCGGTTGCTTCATGTATTCGTGAAATCAACCCTCTTAACGTGGTGGTTTCCCCGTTGAAATACTTTATGATTTTGTGTTGCCTTTTCACTGGCTGGATTTTAATGTTGTATGGTTACTTAAAGCTGTGACATGCAACCGAAGAGTATCAGTTGTGATTTGGCTCTGTTAGTGAGTGGAAGTGAAATATACATTTTCTTTTGCATAAAAACCTACGATGCTTTCTACATGAAGAAATGACACATACACAAAATTAAAGTAAATCCTTCATTCTTCAACCGAAACGTCAAACAAAACAACAAATACAATGCAGTGTTCAATATTTTCGCAAAAGTGTAACGCGCAAAAATAAATGCAAACATGATGAACAAAAATACAACAAAAACGAAGCAAAAAATTTTCTTTTTAAATGCATCAACGCGAACAAGAAATACCCAACGTCGCTGTCGCAAAGGATGAGCCGGCTTTGCCTAAGATTTACTATCGCCACTGTTGCTGCCCTACTGCCACTATATATCGACGCAACGTCACGTAAATCATATCAGTCTATTGCGACAACTCGTGCTGCCCGCATCGCAGGTGGACCGAAGGAACATCCGAACAACATTTCAAGACACTTTAAAAAAAAAGACGCGCCATACATAAATTCAACGTTAAACTAGAACAAAATACCTCAAGTTTTCGCTAACTAAAAGAGTTTACTACTACTAATGAAATAAATATATGCAACTAAGAAACTACCTCATTTAAGTAAAATTGTGTGTGCTATATTTGGAAAACCGTACAACGAGCGAAAAGCTACCATCCACGGGCTGCTTAATTTACCTAAGTGCAGAACTACCTCAAAGTACAAAAAGTGCTCATCTGGGATAATTAAATTCAATAAAATCAAAAATTAATACAACATCTAAATAAAAGAGTGTAAACTTTGAATGCAATTTAAAACAAAAAAAATACAAGTTAAGAAAGTCATATTAAAGAAAAGTATCGAGATTTTGCAGTTTGTGATATTCTGCAGGGGACAATAAAACAATAATCAGAGATCATAACAAGTCAGTACCCATTGGGCTAGTTAGTAGCACCGATTACAATTTTAACAATGGCGATTTCGCTGCTGCAGGATGCCCAAACACGAAGTAAGTATTTTCAACACTTTAAAAAAATATACATATTTTTTATCTAAGTCTTGTTTCCAACTTAGAAATCTAGTTTTTGCTGTGGTAAACTACATAAGTACATATGTATGTTTTGAGAATAAGAACATTAGTACACAGTTAATTTCAGTTTATTTCGTTATTATATTGCATTGAAATGCATATGTACATACATATGTAGATAATGTACTACATTGTAAATATTAAAATATACTACAGCCGGTTGAAACGTCAAACATTTTTTTATGCCCATTTCCCCGAAGAAGTAGTACACGTTCACTTTGCAAATACTCATATGGCGATTTTCTAAACTTACGATGCTCCCTTTACACTTCACCCCACTTCACCCCATCCTGATAGACAGCGGCCATTCTATGCAGCCGCAAGCAATGGCGATCAGTGCACCGCCATGTCCACCCTCTCCTTCCTGCAATAGGCGGCAACGAAAAAAATAATGTAAATATGTATGTATGTTTGTATGTAAAAGCTAGCAATTACGACGTCTCAATGGCCAGGCCAGAGCTGTAGCTTTTACGGTTGCCATAGTTGCGACTGAATATGTTTTCATTGTCTTCGGCATAACCATCGCCATCACCATCATCATCATCATCATCTTATCAGCCGCACACTTGTAGTGGTTATACGTCATTTTTGTTTATACCCATTTTTTTTGTTTTGCTTATACATACATATGTACATATGCATGGCTTCACGTGGGTTTGTAGGTATGTATTTATGCACATCCTATAACATATTTTGCTCAGCCGGCATTTAACTCGTTCACGCGCCACAAAACACTGTTGGTGGGGGTGCCGACGGCAGGGCACAACCAGCCGAAGGCTTGATAAGTATGCATATGTGTGCTTGCTCATACTTATTGTACTGTATGTGTATGGCAGACCAAGCACGTGTGCAGATGAGTGCTATTTCTCTTTGGTTTATAATCTCACATATGTTTTTTTAACAATACCCGTTTTGATCGATAGCGCTCTTGTGCCCTGAATGAGCAAGGAGCATGGGTTCATATAGTAGCACATATACACACATATGTAGCTATGTACGTAAAAACCTTGTGAAACTCGTTTAACGCTTTCAGTAACCATATGTGTTTTCTCTTGGAATGTGACGCTCTTTGCTGTGCTCTTACATCATTCCACTCAAAATTTCATTGCAATTATTTCGTTTATTTACCGTCTCCGTGTATATATTTCGCAAACATTCTCATTAGACTGGTGAGCCTCATTCGATAACTTAACCCCTCAATCCTTCTTCTACGCCTAGCAAAGAATTTTGCTGAAACTTGAATGATGTTTAAAAAATGTTGTTTAATAATTTCCGTTTCCGCTATCCTTGGCAAATGTGTATGTGCCTTCTTCCGTAGATTATTTCCGATTTTAGCTGTCGATTTAAATATTGATTTAGTTTTAAAAATTAAATATTTGCCAACTAATCATGCGAATTTTTCCTCTGTTTCCTTAGGTTTAGCCGCTGCTCTAGTTGGCATAAAGCGGGACGATGTAGAAGCGCATAACGCACTCTCCATGTCGCCGCCAATGTCCGCCAACACTTCCACGAATAGTTTGTATCCCGGTTTGCAGCATGCCGCCGCCGCTACAGCCTTCAGCATGCTGTCGCCCTCACAACTGATTGCCGCAAATCGTCAGGCAGCTGCTGCACTTATGGCCTCGCAACTATTCCCGCAACATCCTTCTATTTTTGGGCAAATGTGGCCTAGTGCAATTCCCCATCTTCCTCTAAATACTGGTCCAAACTCGCCACCCGCCAGCCCACATTCGCCAATCGGCGCAACGCCGCCTTCCAACAGTGGCAAACAAGTCCATAGCTTGATCTCGCCCACGGGTTTTACACAGGCTGATTTGCCCGCCAAGAAACCGCGCAAAATTACTGTTAAGAAAGATTTAATGTCACCACCAATCGAAATGTCGATGAACGTAAACGATATATATAGCCCAGCTGGTCCAATTTCGCCCCCATCATCTGGTTCCTCGCCCAATTCAGCTCATGACGGCCACAGTCGCACTGATGTCACAATTTCTGCGTCGGCCACAAAGGATCCCTCCCGCGATAAAAGCTTTACCTGCAAAATCTGCTCACGGTCCTTCGGCTATAAGCATGTACTGCAGAACCACGAGCGCACTCATACGGGCGAGAAGCCTTTCGAGTGCCCTGAGTGTCATAAGCGTTTCACCCGTGACCACCACTTAAAGACCCACATGCGTTTGCACACTGGCGAAAAGCCGTACCATTGTTCACACTGCGACCGGCAGTTTGTGCAAGTGGCAAACCTTCGGCGTCATCTGAGGGTTCACACTGGCGAACGGCCATATTCTTGCGACATCTGCGACGGGAAATTCAGCGACTCTAACCAATTGAAATCCCATATGTTGGTACACAACGGCGAGAAGCCGTTTGAGTGCCCGGAATGCCATATGAAATTCCGCCGACGTCACCATCTACTGAATCACAAATGTGGGCAGAATAGCATTTCTGGTTTACACTCTCCGCCAACCTCACCCGATGCCGTACTTAGCCCAAATGGTCTTAGTGGCGATTACGCGCTTTGCGACCAAAAGTCTGTCATGGGATCTAGCTACGGCTCGGAGGAGTCTATGGATATCGGTCGCCCAATTAATGTCTCAGCTTTGTCCTTTGAGCTCATGGAACACCAGCAGAATGGTCAACTTCATTCCACCATATCGTCCATGGGTGCCTCACTAAGTATTACTGAAGCAGATGGCGATGAGGAACTGGACACACCACTGGATCTATCCGAAAGCGACGTGAGTATTGATGTCGGACGGAACAGTATCAAGGGAACGCACGATTTTCGCCGTGTCTTCCGTCTGCCAACGCAAATTATGCAGATGCACTGCGAAATGCCCGAACAAACAGAGCCTGAGGACTTGAGCATGCATCGGAGCAACATCAACCTTGCAATCAACGCTACTCACTCCCACGAATCTATGATGATGGTGCAAGACGATCTCGATCTTGAAGAGCTGGACGATACGACGACGGTCTATATGCGCCAGCAACACCATTTGTCTGGGCAAAAGTCAACGACGCAGATGGAGTAGGAAGAGGTTTTTTCAGCGAATTATTCGGAAGATTCAAGCCGACAAGCGTCATCATATTCTCTACTGCAGATGATGAGTCGTTCACCCTTGCTACTGCTGCCGTCACTTCTACGCTCATTCTTAGTTAAAGTGAGCAACAAAAGTACGCAGCATTCCAAGAGGCTGTAAAATGAAATTAGTTGAGCGAAACTTTAAGAGGATTTGCACAAAGGTAAAAAATATCGCTGTAAAGGGCCACTTAATAAGCAACTCATCAATTACCTCAATGCTGCATCTACATACATATATATGTGCAAATGTACATACATATGTAAAGAAGGACCGTTAAATGAATATAAATGCATTGCAAATGTATAATAGTTACACAACAGAAATGTACGATAATCTATTTATGTTTTTGTAAGTTGTTACTGTAAAATTCAATAAAATGAATGTCATTAACTTAATACTTAGTACATATAGAAATTAAGTGGGCGCGAGTTCGATACGGATTCAAAAATCATTGTTTGTAAATTTTTCAGTGCCATTTTTAATATTTTAAGCTTACCTGAATAACTATGCATTTAAGTTTATTTATTGCCCAAATAATTTATTTTAATATAAGCTACTTTGACTTTAAAAATTTACTTGTACATAAATAGAAGTAAAGAAAATTTTATGTACATATATACTAGTTTTATTGTGAATTATTATTTTAACTTATGGACATACAAACACCTACATACTTATTTCAAGTATTTCTTAACACTTTTTGTGTTAAAATCGAATGCATTTTAATCAAAACTATAAGCAAAGAAAATCAAAATTGACTTTAAGTTATATGAGCATAAATTATATTTATAAGACACTGTTTTTATTTAATTTAATTGTTTGTATTTCCTACGTTTTTAAGCTTTCAATAGACAAATTTATTAGTTGCACTTAAATTATAATTTTTAAACTTGAGTGTGCATTTTGTGTTGTTAAAAGTAATAAAAAAATCAAAACGCTTAAATACATACATACAGATATAAAAAAAAAACGATCAACAATGCCTTTTTTTGTGTTTGACTGTTTGGTTCTTGTTCAAATTTGTGCTATTTAACCCGAAATGTTCGCAATTTTATTATTCTTTTATGGTTGCTTTTGCAATATCAATTTTCAGCTAACTTACATACACTTACGTTTTGAACCAATGTACCAATTGCCCAGGTCAAATGAAAATGCGATACAGGAAAATATATGTATGCATAAATACTATAAAACCAAATACCTCCAATACCTCCTCATTAGCAAAACATTAACAAAAATGCAATGGTCACTACCAGTGGCAAACGTTGCCAGAAATCGATGAATTTATATTTGAAAACTGTAAAATTACAATTGTAAATTTTATTAGAAACTATATCAATTTTAGGATTACAAATTATCAACAACAACAAAAAAGATCATAAATATTTGCTATAGGTCTTAAAAATAAGCTCATTACCAGAGAATAAAGTCCGATACAAGGATTTGCTGAATACCCAAATAGAATAAATAAATACATATGTACGTACGTACATATGTAGCTATACCTAGTTTTGATTTTTATGAAGTTTATTTAGCACAATATAAATACGTCATACGAGATGTAGGAAGTATATGTTTACTTAATAAAGCTATTCTAATTATCTTGTACATATATGTATGTACAAAGTCGTTGAACTAAAAAATATAATAAATGATAGTATACAAGCGATGACAAACATGTATAATTTCCATTGTTCATTCAAAAGTGTATGGTATAAAAAGTTCCTCGGATTAATTACAAGAAAATAATGACATTGATATAGTGAGCAATATGTTTCAAATTTGCGCAAATTTATTTTAAATATAAAATCAGAGCATTAAATAGAGTCCTGGATTACTTTAAGTTTAGTTTTTTTATGCAACATGTGGAAATAAATACATTGTTCTCTTCGTAATTTTTTCCTAATCACAATGTACATTTTCAAAAGTTTGGTTTTGTTTATTTGGATTTTTTTTTATGAATATACTTTATTAACTAATTTTATTATAACTCTGTTTAATAAACATTCATTATATCCAAACCCTTGAATTTATTATTTAAAAAAATTTTGCGCATTGAACGAAACACATTTGTTACACTACCCCGCTTTACATTCAAATATTGTAAAGAAATTTCAAATTTAAAGCGCTGCATTAAATTGTAATTAATTTCACACAAGCATAAATCATTGCGTGCACATTAATTAGGTAGGCATGCCATCTAGAATAGACATATGTAGATATAAAATTTAGGTGTTCTGTCAATTTGAAAAATTAAAATATTTAAAAAAAGGTTAAATGTGCATTTGAACGAAAATATAAGAAATAAAGTGTGCAATATGTATACGTAAGAAATTCTGATATGATTGTTTCAAGTTTAGTAAGCACTCGTATTTGTAAGGAAGTACTGTAAACAATAGGCTAAGCTCTCAATGAGCTTTGAACTAGTCAAATTTTTGGAAGTAATACGACTGAAAATGTAAATAAATGTATGGCTTCAATAATATCTTTTAATATTTGAGATAAATTACAATTGTAAAACAAAAGCCAAAACTGTAAATATGTACGCACTAATATACATATACATATAAATATCTATCATAAAAAGTGTTTAATAATAATAATTTGGTTTCGTTGTTAACTATTCTTTACCTTTTATAAAAAAGTATATTATGTATGCATGTATAAAATTAAATTGATGAAGTTTATTAAAAAAAAGTCTACAATTGAATCATTGCTGAAAATGCTGGCATGCATTTTTGAATTTATAAATATTGCAGGAAAACTTTTTGTTACGCGATTATACACATACATATGTACATATTGTCGATGTTTTTGCAAAACGCCCATCGACCAACCGCAAAACCGCCTATCTGACGGCACTCAAATTTTACAGAAGAGCGAAAAAACGGTTTTCTTTGAAGGTATTGGCTATGATAAGCGATACTTTCTCTAGTTATTGTTTTACAAATCTGTTGTTTTAATAGCGATTTTACAATTGTTATGCAAATTGGTTACCAAATCTCATTTTTAACACAAACGGCAATAACGCAAAATTTGCTTTATTTCACTTTAAAATAGGAAATAGTTCCAAATTCTGAGTTTTGCTTTTGTCCCATAGAGTTTCTCAAATATTTTTTTATTAATTTTAGTTTTGAAAATGATCCTTCAGCTGTAGGCACAGGAATTGGAACAAACAACATTAACGCTTTCAAAAAACAAGGAAAACATAAATTTCTATTAATTTTTTTTTATGTTTTGGTAGGATTTTGCTAGGTATATCTTCGGCGCAGGGGGGATGATCTTTCGATTTATATTTTCCAATATGTTAGCAACAAGCATGCGATCGCGAACGTACGAATAATATTGGAAGTTGCTTTTGGCTGCAAATTGAAAAATGAAATAAACTGCGAAATGGGGCAGAATATTTTAAAACGATTAATTTTATATTAAAGTGGAATAAAGGTACTTCCTCCTAACTAATGGCGCGTTGAAATATCTCTATTAGTTTTTTATTTATAAGCTGAAGTACCGGTCGCAAACGTACGGGTCGCGAGCGTACGATTTTTCCGTCATTTTTTATACCTTTCATGAACATGAAATGGTTTTATTAATTTAGTCCAATGTTTGTTATTACCAGAAGAAGAAGATATAGACCCACTAACTGTTTGCTAAATTATCAGAACGTCGAGCTGAGTCAATTTAGCCAAGTCCATCTGTAAGTCTGTTTGAATGCATTTAGTCCTTCAGGTTTCGAGTATTTGACTGAAATTTGGTAAGCAAGTGTATTTTTATAATGTAAATATTAATCATTTGTCGGAACCGCCAAAATCGGTCCACTACAACTTATAGCTCCTGTACAACTGACTGTTCATTTTACTTCTCGGTCCTGGTTGACCATTCTGTGGAAATGCGCATATGGTCTTTAGTTGTGTCTGACTTTTAATTGATTTTAAAAAATTATAACTTTTAAGTACTCACTTTTGTAAAAAAATTAAGGATATTTCTGAGCTCGCGGTCTCTTGGGCCGGAGCCCTCTCGGATCGGGGCTAGTGTAATTTGCCAGGTGCACGCGGACTGCCGCGACGCTGGGTACTTTCAAAATTGTATACATACTTACAAATCCGTCAATTTAACTTGTTCATGTACTACTTTTTGTCAGATGTAACCTATGTATGTGTACTTTATTGCAAAGTTAAAAAGTTGGTCTTATTGCTCAACGATAAATGAAATAAAGTAAATTTGTGTTATTTCACATTTAATTGGGAAATAACACAAATTTTCTTTATTACCGTTTGTGTTATTGCACCACCCATTTAAATCAATGGTGTTCCAGAAACAAGTACCTAAAATAAAAAATAAATCAAGTATTTGAACAATTTTGGTTTTAAAACGTTTATTTTGATGAAAAAGTATCGAATTTACATATTTTTTCGTTGTCACTCAAAGAAATTATATTTTTTTAATAACTTCGGATGGTTTCCAAATTTAGTGTTCATATTAATAAAGGCAATGGACGTTGGCATCAAGTACAAAATTTTTGTGAAGTTTCAAGAGTTTACTACGAAATTAAAAAAAAAAAAATGACAGCATGCAGAAAATCTGTCTTACCTATTTTGTAAATTTTGAAATTTTACAATTTTTTAATTTCAATAATTTTAGATTCTTCAAAATGTTAAAGTTAAACGGTGAAAATGTTCTTCTTGTCAAACCAAACGAATCTAGTGAAAAAATTGCATTGCGTAAAATATGACTATAATTTGAGAAACTAAAATTCCATCTTTACAACTTTTATTTGCACCATTCATTCTAAATTTTTTATATACATGAAGAAAGTGATATATGCATAACTATATGCATAAGGAATACTGTGTAAAAACTTTGAACGTAAATATTAAATCACGTTTAAATAATATGGCTTTTAGGTTAAGGCGTGCGAGTAAACGGCCAGTGGAAAAATGTAATGTATAGTAATCGAAAAAATAATCAGTAAAACAACCCTTTTCACATGCGAAAATGCATTTTTGTTTTCCCAGGGCTATGTCCTAAGAAAAGTGGATCATTCAATTTTGCATTACCTAGTATCGAGAAATTAATGTGTTTTTTTGTTTTAAATGAAATTATTGGAACTTTTTGAATATATTAGAATGCTGATTACATAGTTAGCAGTGATACAATCGATAACTCATAAGAAATACATTATATTATTTATCACGCATGTAATGCATTACTACTTTTCCAACTGGGCGTGTTAGATGAGTGCGTATGGTGCTACGGGGCGTATGCGTAACATACGCAACTACGGGTATATGAGCGCCAGTGGTTATTTTCACTTTTTTTAGTACATACATACATATCGCCGATATTTTTGTAAAACCGCCTATCGACCAGTTGCAAAACGGCCTAACTCGCCGTTGTGGCAAAAATGAGATTTGGTAATTCTGAACTCCAGGCATCTAGATTTATGCATAAAAATTTTTAAATCTTTATTAAACCAAAAGATTTGTAAAGTAATAGCTAGAGAAAATACCGTCTTTCAAGGCAAT